GCTTGAATCCACCCGGCACCTGTTCAGCAAGTTTCCCTACTTAGACCTTTCTACCATAAAAATAATACCTTGAGGCCAGGTGCCAGTGGCTTATGCTTGTAATCCTGGCTATCTAGGAGGCTGAGATTTGAGAATCACTGTTCAGAAGCAGCCTGAGCAGGAAAGTCTATGAGATAGGATCTCACCAAATTTTTGCCTGACTGGGCCTTGATTCCTTCCAGTCTCTACTTTCTGAGTAGCTGAGATTTTAGACATGAGCCACTGTGTCCAGCCCCCTCCCATGTTTTCATGTTGGACTTTAGGTTTTATGTTGAAGGCAAGAATCTTATTTTTTTTTGTGTGTGTAGATAATCTAGCCCCCATTTAAGTATTCCGTCCCTTTTCTGCTAAAGTAAAATGTAACTTCTGTCATAGAATTGTGTTCCAGTGTACCCTCTTTGAGACTACTTTTAGGCTTTTTATTGAATTTCATTTGTCTGCTTCTTTCTGCATCAGAACCAAAATATCTAAACACCCCTAACTATATAGTAAGCTTGAATTGGGAAAAGTGAGGTCCTGGTGCTTTCCCTTAGTCTTTCTCACTTTACTTCTCTGTCCTCACCTCCTTCTCTGCTTTGGCTTTTTGTGACTGCTTGTGAATTATGGAGTTGAATTTGTGTGTTAATTTGGAAAGAATTGCATTGTTTGTAGTTTCAACTTTTAATCAATGAATTTTTATCAATGAATAATTATATGTTATCTTTTATGTCCTCCAAAAATTTTATTACTGCCTTTATGTTTTATAAAACTATACTACTTAGGTTTACTTCTACTTTTTAGACAATCAGTTCTACTTTCTATAAATCAGTTTTTGTTCCAACTAGAATATTTACATTTTTCTTGTTAAAATATGGGAACATTTTTATCACATACGTAAATAATATTGCAGAATTCTTACAGTTCCACAAATGCGTAGACTCACTTGGATTTCTCTGTAGCTGACCATGTTAAGAGAGAAAAACCAGAACTACTATTTGCAAGTAGCAATGGTTTTCTTTGCTTTTCACTTTTTTTTCATTTTTCATCCTTTCATGGTTGTGTTGTTTTGAGTTGATTCACGTAATTGCTTTCTCTACTATGTATTATAATTTTCTTATTTTTAATCTTAGTTGGAATTCTATTGGTGTTTCATTTTTTAATTGCCACTATTGGTGATGTGTAATTTGTCCTATCAATTTTGCAAAGGTTTGTCAGTCTTTTGTAAGAAACAGTATCTGTCAGGCCTCTCAATTTTATCCATTTCTTCATGTGTTCCTTTTTTCCTTTTTTAATTTTGTTTTAAACTCTTTTTCTAAACTCTAAAATTTCACATCTAGTAATTATCTTTTTTTGAACAAAGCTAAGACTTTCTAAAAATAATTTTTAACTATATACTACAAGTTCTGATTTATAATATTTTTACTGTTCTTTTAACTCATCCTCCTTTTTCTTTATGCCAAGAATTATTTAGGACAATAAAAAAATGAGCTACTTAGTTATTATTGTAAGATTAAGTAAAACACAGTAAATACTGGTGACCATCAAGTCTTTCCAGCATGAATCAGTAGCACATGTATTACATACTTTTTGAACCAAACTTAGGAATATATAATGTCTTTCAGAACAGATTTTCATTTGGAAAGTTTGATGAACTTAAAGTTTAATTTTAATAACTTATATTAAGGAGAAATTGCCTATATATGAAAATAAAAATGTATAGTTATGTAGAAGACTAGTTTTTAAAATAAGAATCTAGAAAAGCAACTGGATACTTGTGGCTCACATTTGCAATCCTAGCTACTCAAGCGGCTGAGATCTGAGGATCACAGTTCAAAGTTAGCCCAGGCAGAAAGTTCCCATGAGACTCTTATCTCCAATTAACCACTCAAAACCCAGAAGTGGCACTGTTGCTCAAGAGGTAGAACACTATCCTTTAGCACAAATTGGCTCAGGGACAGTGCCTGGGCCCTGAGTTCAAGCCCCACAACCAACCAAAAAAAAAAATCTAGCTCAATTCATTATCTTTTTTACTCTTAAATCAGTTTGGAGAATTGAGTTCTTGTTCGTTTTGGTTTTGCTATGGTGTAGCAAGACTTGATTTAGTCTATGGTATTTTAGTGATATCTTAAAGGTATTTTTCAAAGTGATATCAAATGATAATTACTATGGTTAAGTAATTTTTATTTTATGGTTTTTCAGTGTTGGGTTAAACCAAGACCATCACATGCTAGGCAGACCTTTCTGTCACTGCGCTGTATCCTCAATAGCAATGTTTCTGCTTCTATATCTTGGCTGTGCAATGGGATTTTGCTTACTCTCCTAAAAAGGGAAATGAGAACAATAAAGAAGCTTGTCGTTCTTTGTAAAAATTGATTTTTCAAATATTTTTAATCCAACTATTTGAATGCTTCTTAATACACCTTTTTACTAAGCATATTCAATAAAATGTCAATAATTTTTCATTGACTTATATATAAATGTATATGGGTTCAATTTATCTAGCTTTCATCTTTTTCAGTAGTTTGCCACAGCATTGGTCCTGATATGAGAAAGCAAAGAGATAAGGACACATGATCTCTGTGTAATGTTCAGAAACACTATTCTGCCAGCTAACTAAAAAAGAAAATTTCCCTTAGTTTCTAGAAGAATAGTGGTCTTCCAGTGTGTAAAGAATGTAAAAGCAAAGAAATGAATCACAAAGCACATGAATTTTATTTATGAGTGTGTGCATATATGTGCACAGTTAAGTTCATTGCGTTTAAATGAGTTTATTACAATTATTGTCTCTGTGGGCTAACTTAAACTTGAACTAATATAAAGGGATTTCTACCACTTCTGTGACAAAGCTTTACAGTTAAAATTGGTGAATAAAAAAGAATGCTTGCTTTTCTTGGAATTTTTCTGATGGAATAGGGTAAAGCATAAGTCAGAAAGCCTTCTCTAAGAACTATTGGTTTTGATCTGGGCATGCTGGCTTCTGCTTGTGATCCTACTCACTCAGGAGATCTGGAGGATTGTAATTCAAGGACAGCTTGGGCAAAATTTCACAACCTTTCCATCTCAACTAATAAAAAACTGGGCTTGGTGAAGTGCGCCTGACATCCCAGCTATGTGGGAAGCCTAAGTAGAAGATCACAGTTGAGACCTCTTAAGGCATAAATGAGAGAACCTATTTGAAAAATTATGAAAGCATAAAGGACTGAGGGGTGTGACTGAAGTGGTGGAATGTCTGTCTTAGCAAGCTGAAGGCTCTGAATTCAAACCCTAGCACTGCCCCCCAAAAAAGTATTTGTGAAAATTACTTTGTGAAATATTTTAATGACACCAAATGTCCTTAAAAGTTTCAGATAAATCCAAATGAGTGTGTATTATTCAAGAATTCATTTTCTTTTATGTATATGTATATGTATATATGCTTATATATATATATATGAATTTCAGTTTAAATACTTGCTCCTTTATTGTATTGTGCCTAGTCAGTGAGCATTTTAAGTTTTACTTAAGTTTTTTAAATGTTAACATCGAGGCTGTCATATTCAATTAACTTTTTGAATTTTGTAAAGTTCTATAAAAACAAAATGCTTTAAGAGACATTATTTGTTCTTTTAAAAAGCTTCTTATGGGAAAGTGGCTCAGTGGTAGAGTGCTTGCCTTGCATGCATGAAGCCCTGGGTTCAATTCCTCAGCACCACATAAGCAGAAAAGGCCGGAAGTGGTACTGTGGCTCAAGTGATAGAATGCTAACCTTGAGTTGAAGAGCTGAGGGATAGTGCCCAGTCCCAGAGTTCAGGCCCCACGACTGACCAAAAAAAAAAAAAAAAAAAACCTTCTTACTTCATTAAAATTTTGCATATTGATTGAACATAATTTCAACCTATAATTTATGCCTTTTCAAAAATATGCATAACAAGCCTGAGTACATTCAAATTCTGTCATTGCTATTATACTTTCTACTTCCTCTGTATTTCTGATTTAATGATCTACCAGAATTTTAAAACTTGAGATGATTGCTTGATTGTTGGAGTCCATCAGGAAAAACAAAATGGATCCAAAGCTTGCTTTATCTAACTTTCTCTTTCGTCAGCCATTAAGAAATGGCAAGCAATATTTCTTTTTTTTTGGGGGGGGGGTCCATCATGGGGCCTGACCTCTGGGCCCGGGCGCTGTCCCTCAGCTCTTCAGCTTAAGGCTAACACTCTACCACTTGAGCCACAGCGCCACTTCCGGCTTTTTTCTTTTTGCTTATGTGGTGCTGAGGAATTGAACCCAGGGCCTCATGCATGCAAGGCAGGCACTCTACCACTGAGCCACCTTCCCAGCCCATAAGCAATATTTCTAAAAACTCAGTCTGCGCCAGGCACCAGCGGCTCACACCTGTAATCCTAGCTACTCAAGAGGCTGAGATCTGAGGATCATGGTTGGAAGCCACTGTGAGACTCTCATATACAATTAACCACTCAAAAAATGGAAGTGGTGCTGTGTCTCACAGTGGTAGAATGCTAGCCTTGGGCAAAATTGCTCGGGGACAGCACCCATGCCCTGAGTTCAAGCCCCATAACAGACAAAAAAACAAAACAGCAACGACAACAACAAAACCCTTCAGTCTACATTCTAAACTTATGGTGGTAATGAAAATAAAAGTAAACCTTTTGTGTATAATAGTTTTAAATTATTTAGGATTCTGAAAATTTAAGTGATTTCTGTTGGCTTTATATAAAGTATATAGAATACAGATAAACAATAGTTTATTCCTTGGCTTAAATAAATAGATTGAAATATTTAATGCTGAAATTAGACCACTAAAACTTTATAATATAAAAGCCAGACAGTGGCTCATCCTGTAATATAAGCTACTCAGGAGGTAGGGATCAAGAGGATTCAGATTTAAGGCTATCTAGGAAAAAGGTTAATGAGACCTTACCTCTTGGGACCCTTGCTGTGCTAGTTTGAAATCAAATCCCTTTTTTGTTTGTTTGTTCAAGACTGAAAGAGCATATTCCTTTTGTGGAACTATTGAATACATGGCACCAGATATTGTCAGAGGGGGAGATTCGGGACATGACAAGGTAGGTTCTGTTTTTGATGCCTCTTTATGTATTTCCATGAAATGTACAGTATGAACCTCAGTTAATAGCCTTAGGTACAGAGCTGTCTTTGTATGTTGTCATTTGTTCTCTTTTGTTTCATATACATGAACACTTGCATTTTTAGGGTGTTATTAGTAAGGATATCTATCTTGTTTTGTAGACTGATGTTTGTGTTAAAGTTAAGACATCAAAATTAACTTTTTATTCATTTCCATTAAAAGAGCCTATCTGTAGCTTAAGCAAACACCAGCTGTGACTCTGTGGGGGGAAAAAGAGAATAAGAAACCATTCTTCTTCTGTTGCATGGGACTTGATCTTTAGGACACAGCTTAACTACAGTATAATACTTGGGTGTCACTAAGTATGTACACTGTGTGATAGATTCCTATCTGAATCATGATAAATGATTTTTAACAGTGCCTTATTGACATAATTTCTGCTAGAAAACAGAGGTGTCGTTATGTGTACCATCTTTAGTTAATAAGTGCTCTCTAAGTAGTTGAGAAGTCATTGAAAAGAGTCCTACATATTTCCTTATTTCTGATTTCTGCCTTTTACTTTACCATGGTACTTACAACTTACTGATAACCTCTCCAACAGAAATAAACTTGTTTTTCTGCTGGGACTGGGGCTTGAATTCAAGGCCTGGGCACTGTCACTTAGCTTTTTCACTTTATCTCTTGAGCCACAGCTCTACTTCAAAGAAACAAACATTTTTACCAACCTTGGAAGAAGAAAAAATCCTGCAATTAAGATCTATCTTCCTGACCCTCTGAAAAGCTCAATATTTTTTGTCTCTTTATTTCTCTTCATATGTGCAAAATAAAGATCATGCAGCAGCTTTCTAGATAATTGTGTTCTTAAATCTAGGTCATCCTATATTGAAGGATAAAACAGTCAGTCTTTCCTTAACACTTGTAACTTTCTCCAAATAAGAATATATGGCTGATTTTTGTTCATTGACTTTACTTTTTTCTTCATACCCTTTGGAAGGGCTACATATGCAGTCCATTATTTAACTAGAAGTTTGATCTCCTTTCTAATGTTCACTCACATACACTATATAAACCTATCTCCAACTTGCCTGGCTTTGGTTCTGAAGCCATGGCTAGGAATCTAATTGCAAATCTGTATCAATGGAAGAACATGGTTTCTCATCCTGTTGCAGGACATCTTCAGGGCTTTGATCAAATGGCAGTGGAATTGCTTTATGAATTAAAGAATTTAATTGTTGATATAGTTTGTTCCATGGTGTTCTTTGAAGCTGCTAGGAAAATTGGTAGGAAATCATAACTATTGAAACTGGAAATTTATTTTCTAAGACCTAAAGGAGTTTGTGTACAGATGAAGAGACATTATCTTACCTCTAGAATCTCTGTATACCCCAGGTCCACAACACAGCTAGTCAATACATAGTCTTTCTTAAATGTGGATAACACAAACAACTTTAAGCTAATTAAATGAGGTCTTTGCAATACCTGGATGGTTGAGGCCTTCAATAAGTCCAGTTCCTCTCATGATACTGACCTAACTGTTGCCTGTGTCATTGTTCTCTGGGCTCATAAACTCTTCTACCTTTCGGGAACCAGATAGTTCTTAACAAATTTTACAAATTCATATTTAAGTTGCACCAATTTGTAATTGATTTAATTACTCAGATTTCGATTGGATAATTTTAAATAATTCATTTTCAACATATCGAAATTCTTTGAACTGTATTTAATTCACTGTGTTTTCTGTTTAGATAATCATATTCATAAATGTGCTTCCAACTTAGAGCACCTTTTTCTATTATTTCAAATCTTCCTATCAGTAAAGACCCCCAGATTTATATAAATATTTAATTTAGGAAGTTACAAAAACTAATACTCAAGGATGAAAATTTTTTTGATGAATTTTATTGTAAAATAAAGTTAAAGATTTTTGGTGATGAAAAATGCTGATTCTTTCCCCCTGTCATAACTCCAAAGATCTCAACTACTTAACATTTTTTTTAATTAGGTTATTTTAAGTTAGAGCTAAAACTGCAACTACATTAACAATCTTTGTGTGCTGAGGGTAACTGGCTATTTGTTCTGCATATATCCTTCTTGTATGTGCTAATTTAATACTCCTTACACAGAAAGCTATATACAATTTTTTTGTTATTTTCCAACTATATAGCTTTTCTCAAAGACTATTTTAGTTGATCATGCTGCAAAATGAAATTGTTGTTGTTGTAGGCGGTTGACTGGTGGAGTCTAGGAGTTCTTATGTATGAACTGCTTACTGGAGCATCTCCTTTTACTGTTGATGGAGAGAAAAACTCCCAAGCTGAGATATCTCGGTAAGAGTGAATATACACAAATGCTGTTTTTCTCAAAGGAATTGATCAGATTTTGAAGTCAGCCTGATAAAAAAAATAAGAGAGATAAGCAAATGATGTTTAAATGGTGGATATTCTTATTTATGTTCCTATAATATGTAGATATATAATCTCGCTATGTATTTTCACTCAGTGTCTTACTTAGATACTAAATCTCATGGAGACAGTATCCAAAATCTTTAAAAAAAATATTTCTTGTAAAATGGTTAAGAGAATGAAAAGACAAGTCACTGACTGGGATAAACTTGTAAATTATATATCTGAGAAAGAACTAGCATCCAAAATATGAAAGAACTCTGAAAACTCAAGTTTATAATAAAAAAGACACTTCATAAGAGATAATCAGTGGGTGGGAGTAAAGACTGGAAAAGTGATGAACATGATTAATCTTTAGGAAATGCAGATTGAAACTATAGAGAAATACTGCATCCCCAACTTGAGGGATCATACCAAGTGCTGATAAAGACACAGAAGAATGATAACTCTCATACACCGGAAGGGGGGATGTAACAGTACTATTACTTTGGAAAACAGAAAGTTTCTTTAAAAAGTTAGACTTTACCTGTTACATGTCTCACCATTTTATTCCTATAAAATCACCAAAGAAAATGAAAGCACATCCATTGCTAGGCATTGTGTGGCAGATACCTGTAATCCCAACTACTCAGAAGACAGATGCAAAGGATTAAAGTTCTAGGTGAGCCTGAGCAAAGTTAGTGCATAGTAGTAAAGCAATAGGAGACACTGGCTTCTCCATAAAAAAGAAGTCTGTTCAAAAACTTGAGCAATAAATGCGTTCAACAGCTTTTCTTGCAACGTCTAAAATCTGCAAATAAGACCTTGTAAAGTCTGTGGACAAGGTCTGGCACCAGTGGCTCACACTTGTAATCCTAGCTACTCAGGAGGCTGAGATCTGAAGATCACAGTTCAAAGCCAGCTCGAGCAGGAAAGGCCGTGAAACTCTTATCTCTAATAAACCACCAGAAAAAAACAGAAGTGGTACTATAGCTCAAATGGTAGAGCACTAGCCTTGAACTGAAGAGCTGAGGGACAGCACCCAGGCCCAGAGTTCAAGCCCTATAACCAAAAATAAAGAGTGTTAACAAGTTATTAAACAAATTGTGTGGTTAATACATACAAATGGAGTACTGCTTGTAAGAAATGAGAGATGAGCAACTGATATGGGCTCAGGGCTTTATTGGGGGACAGACCTGCTGGGTAGCTTCAAGCAGGAATGGAGGCAACAGCAGAGGACAGGTGTGAGGCGAGTTTAAACAAAATTTTAGGGGGCAATCACATGGGTCACATTACTAGGACCGTGGGAATTTGGTGGTGAGGAGTCAGTTCCGAGATGGAAGTGTTATATGGGCTCTGGGAATTGGGGAGAGAGTCACATTCTGAGAAGGAGTGTAATGAGACTGTTGCAACTGGGGTGGGGATTTGTACATCACACCAGGAAAACAGTACAACATCGGGGAAGTAGAAACTTAACAGGGACTTAATTGGCAAGCTGACTCTGAGACTTTAGACTACTTACCAATAAAAGCATACAGTGTGTTAACATACACAGCAATGTGGTCAAATCTCAAAATAAGCTAAGAGAAAGAAGGTAGGCAATATAGAGTGTATACTGTATGCTTCCAATTCAGGAAAATGCAAATTCATCCATAGTGACAGAGAGCAGAGTAGTGGTTACCTGGGGACTGGTGGCCGGGGGGAGGGGGGGCAAGAAGGATGACATAGGAGCTGAGCAAAGTAAAGGGAGTGGCCATCTTCTTTATATAGATTGTGGCAGTTCTGTCACAGATGGATGTATATCTCAAAGATGCACTTTGTGTGTGTGAAATACATATCTATTGTACTTTAATCAAACTTTTTTGGTTTGGAGTTTTTTTGGTCAGTCATGGTACTTGAACTCTGGGCCTGGGCACTGTCCCTCAGCTCTTCAGCTCAAGGCAAGCATTCTACCACTTGAGCCACAACACCACATTTGGTTTTCTGGTGGTTTATTAGAGATAAGAGTTTCATGGACTTTCCTGCCCGGGCTGAGCCACTGGTGCCTGGCAATAAAACTTTTTTTAATTAAGAAAAAAATGACAATATGCCTTTCCCAGAAAAGATGAGGAAGTAAATAATTTCTCAGTTGGACGCCAGTGGCTCACACCTATAATCCTAGCTACTCAGGAGGCTGAGATCTGAGGATCACAGTTCAAAACCAGCCTGGGTAGGAAAGTCCGTGAGGCACTTACCTCCAATAAGCCATAAACCACCAGAAAACTGGAAGTGGTGCTGTGACCCAAGTGGTAGAGAGCTAGTCTTGAGCTGAAGAGCCGAGGGATAGCATCCAGGCCCAGAGTTCAAGCCCCATGACTGACCAAAAAAAAAAAAAAAGGCTAACTAAATAATTTCTCAATGTTTCAACTTAATGCCAAAGTTGAATGAACAGCAATTTTTTTCTAATTTAGTTTATTGTTGTTTTAGAGGTGATATACAGCAGGGCTACATTTATATACGTCAGGTCATAAGTCCATTTTCTTTTGCATAGTCCATCTGTTTCCTCATTCTCTCCCATTCCCTCCCTCCCATCTCTACCCATGAGTTGCACAGTTCACTTTGATCAGTGTCCACTGCTCTCCTCTGGTTATGTGCCTCCCCCGCCCTCCCACAGATGTGCATGTGAGTACACCATATAAGGTAATGAATACAGTCATCAGAAAAAGAAAAAAGTCCTTTGTTTCCATACCTTGGAATTTGTCTTAGTACATATGAAGAGGCACTTGGGTATTGCACCTTTGTGATTCTCGCCTAAGACTATCCTCTTTTGGTCTCATTGTATGGGAGTATCTAGAATTCTGTGTGATTTAGATCTAACTTCCACATATCAGGGAGAACATGCGCCATTTGTCTCTCTGATCTTGGCTTACCTCACTTAGCATGATTTGTTCTAGTTGAACAGGAATACTTTTTAAAATTATAGTTAAAATATACTTGTTATGAACTTTTCAAATATGGGTTTTCTTATTCTAAAATTGATTTTGGGGAGTTTTTAAATGCCTCTGTTGGGTGGGAGGGGCGCACACCTGTCCTCTCAGCTATCTGGGAGATTGAAGTAAACTTGATCATAGATTTGAGGTCAGCCTAGGCAACATAGCAAGAGCTAGTCTCAAAGTGATAGGAAACTGGCTTGAGTCTCATTACAGCGTCTGTCCCAGGAACACTCACAAAGTATGGCCTTCGTCTGAGAACATTACACAGTCGCTTCTCTGACTTCTTTCTGATTCCACAAATACCACAGCTTTTTATAATCTTCGTTTTCATTGCACACAGAGAGAAGTATACTGCTTATGATGGCTGGAATATTTTAAGCCAAGTGACATGCACATTTCACTTCATTTGTTAGCCATTTATATTGACTTTTTGGCATTCTGATTTTAGAAAAACAAAAGAAAGCTTGAATCAGATTGTCTTAAATCTAAAAACTAGAATGTTAGGTCAGAGGTGGGGATCCATGGGTCATTGAAGGCCTAAGAAATCATTTGATCAGGTTCTGCCGAGGCAATCACAGGCAAGACTTGAAATTCAATAAATGCAGGAGTCATTCTCATAGCAACGTAAGTTAATACTCAGCGATTCATCATAATAGTATAAATTTTATGAGATAATAAAGCATCCACCATAGAACAGACGGAACATGTGCAGGTATGTGACAGGATAGACATGTATGCTCACATTGGCTGCCTGAGGCCTATCTATGTGCTGTGATGACTCAGAGGACAGTTGGTGCCAAGCATGACTGGGAATGAACACCATGCAACACTGCTAGCACACCGTGTAAACTATGGTAACTTGATGACAAGACAAGATTCAACGTGCTGTGATTCCTTATGATGTTGATGACCTTGCCTCCAGTGACTGATGACAATGTTGTCTACGTCTTTGTCAACACCGATGGTAATTCCAACCCAGCCTTTGTCCACATAGCCATACTCACCAACTCTCACATGAAGATGAAGAAAAGACCTCAAGCCTTGATGATAAGGATGTTGGATATGTTCTCAATCCAAGATGCAGTATTAGAACTTCAATCCAAGCCAAACAATCACATGGCTGGTGAAACACACACACTGGGTAGTTATTAAACTTAAGTGCAGTGACAGCCTACAAATGGTGACTATAAAGAATATTGATATTTCCAAGGGAAATGGACAAATGATTTTTTGTTGTTGAAGTCAGAGGCTTAATTGTAGTGATGTTTTGGTAATAACCAAACTTGCAATATCTGGATAAAGTCCATCTGTTCAGCAGTGTTTGGAATCACAGGAAGTTACGTTTACTAAGTCTCATTCTGACAGGGACAATGTTACTCCAAGGAGTTTTGTAGTGGCAAACTACTTGAAAAGAAACTAAGAGTTTGTGAAATAGTGCATGGTGGCTACTGTGGGGTTGTTAGCTCCAGACAAAGTAAAATTGTTGTGGAGAGTTAAGTTTGTCTTGGAGAACCATCTCAGCTCAGATAAATGACTTAGCACAAGATATTGAAAAAAAACATTGAAAGATTCTGTAGGCGATTTCCAGCTTTTCTCTCTGGCTTATGACAAGACAAAGAACATAACACTGCCCACTGTGTTATTTGTGGGATAACCACAGAGTTTGACACATAAGAAGAACTGCTGTCACTGGAAGCTATCTAAGCTTGGCAGTACAGAGGTGAGAAACTTGCTTTATCAATTGAAAAACTTGAACTAACATTTGAAAAGTTAGGTGGCCTTACTAGAGATAGACATGCAGTCACGGTTAGCTCAAAAAAAGGTTTCATTACATTTGTCATGCAGGAACTGAATTGTCTCAGTCTTTAATCCAAGTATTTAATTACATGCCACTACATTATGCACCAAGAAAATCTCTATGCACTATGGTTGTGGCTCAACAATGTCATTTGTTGTCACACTTAAATTTTGTAA